TTTTACCCGTGTAACAGATGTATGATCTGCACTAACAACGGTATACATAAGAAACCTGTGACAACATTCCGGTCTAATCAGATGGGAAAATCTTATGATATACAGACAGTTATCACGTGCAATAGCACACACGTAGTGTACTTGCTGGAATGTTCGTGCGGAAAGCAATACATAGGAAGAACGACCAGGAGATTAAGGGACAGATTAAGAGAGCACCGGTCTAATATTAAGAAGGGGTTTAAGGAACACTCCTTGTCCTTACATTTTTGCAGAAAACATGGCAGAAATTCACATTGCCTGAAATTCATTGGCATAGATGTGATTAAAAACAACTGGAGAGGGATGTTCAAGAAATTAGAAGTATCCAAGTTGGAGACAAAATGGATTTTTTTTGTTGAGAACATCCGCCCCAGAAGGCCTCAATATAGACCTTGATGTCAACTGCTTTATCGACACAAGTTGATCGATCTTTTATACATGTAATATGTACTGATTTTCCCTCTCAGACCTAGAGGTATTGTTTTATTGTTAGGGAAGGCAGATTCACTGTAATCGTATATAGTTGGTTTGACTATTTGGATCTTTTAATTACCATTTGGGACTGAGCCATCTTTTTTGGCCTTTTTCCCATCTGACCCTATCCGGAAGGACACTTAGAACCTGTCTAGCATTTTTTTGATTCGGACTTATTGATTTTAAATGGCTTGTAATTGTGATATTAAACCACACCGGGTTTTTATTATGATGGAATATATGTTTACTCAGTCTGAGGATAGGTTCTTAATATACGTCAAATTTATTTCAGTTCTTGTCTATGGTATTCCACTCCAATTACCGGGATGCAATAAGTTTACGCACCACCCTCATTACTGAGTACATAGACACACACATTGCACTCGGTTAATAGGAGTCGGTGCGTTTTTTAACTGATTGTTTCTGCCTATTTTATCTTTCAATTCGATGTCTATAATATATTTTTTTAGTTCTGTAGACTGATTCTTTAGCAATAATTTATGTACTATGTACCCCTTCACCAATTAAGATGTGAGGTTGCAATAGTATTTAGGCTGTATTATGACTTTTATTATAACCAAGTTTTACTAGTACATGTAAGCTGTGTTTTATTTTAATTTATCTCATTTTTAATAATTCGATAATCCGTCAGGGAAACTGAGTTTATGCAGCCTATACCCCTTTGGGGAACGTATGGATTAGACGGCTCAAGTTCCCGGGCATGCAATTTATAAGTTATCCCCATTGCCACTGGCAAGCTGTATTAGACTCCAGAGTAATGGCCGGTATCGGCACTTACTGCGCATGCGCGAATCGCTCGTAATGAGCGTAATATTATATCTTCCCCTTCCTTTATATTCCCTGGGGGAGGATATATTCATCGCGAGTCCTTTTAATCCAGTAGGGTTATCTTTTAAAATATTATCACTTCATCCCCCGGGTGCTTGATGTTGTCCAGGAGCCAGCTTACATGTCCTGGTATTTTCCTGTCCACACACTGCTTGTTCTTCCATCATTTGCAATGTGCTCCAGTAAAATGGCCGCCGTCAGCACGCATCGTCCGCGATGACGTGACACGGCGGGACTGCGCATGCGCGGCATACGCTATTTAAGTAAGGTTATTACAGGAGGCACACTCCCTTTGATAACGTGCCATCGCACGAAATGCGTTAGGGAGGTGCTTTATACCCTGTGACGTCACACTGCATGGCCCCTGTGGACGGCCGGCGGCCATTTTGGAATTCCCTGCTACCAGCTGCTCACTACACATGTGAGTAAGATTTTCAGCTATCTGTTTATTTTTTCTACTGTGGATAATAAAGTACTACACTATCAGAATCTTCTATTGTCTTGGCTCGTTACTTCCGAGCCCCCCCTCCTTCAAGGCTTATTGGGATGATCTGGTGGCCACATCAGGACTGGTTAGACTCCCCCCCGGTGGTGAGACGACTACACGCCCTCTGATATCTGGTGTCCCTGAGGTTGTGATGTTTGCCCAGCTGATGCAGGCCAGATGACCACTCTGTGATCCAGTTCCAGTTTGCAGTAGCCGGATGACCAGGAGTTGGTTAACACTCAAATGCGCTTTAAGATTGCGCTCTCTGGTTAGTGCAATCTACACTCATTTCTGCGGGAGGAATATGGTCACAGAAGTCACTTATTGTGTCACCTTTTTGTCCTGAAATTTTATATATTATGCACCGCAAGAACACTCTTGTTGAAAGATTTATACTCACCATCATTATTATTCCTGGACTTTTCAGATAATTTTTCAAGATCCTTTTTTAGTATTAAGTGGTGTTCACTTTACTAGTTATTACCTGCACCAAATGATTATTTGCATGCATCATTGTACGTATTAGCGCTGCATGGTTGTTTGATATTTCTTTTGAGGCTCCTGGTATTTGCCTTTCATGCTAGCCGCTCTCTGGTTGATTACACTGTTCAACAGGTAACAAGTTTTGGGCATAAAATTAGCTAATCTTACATAATTTTGGGGTGCTGAAAATGAAAATGACCCTAAAAAATGTTGATTGGCTCTAGTTTCCATGATATATTCACCCATCTAATGACGTAAGCCATTCAAAATTATGATGCAACTTCAGCTGCATATTGCGCAATTGATACTGGTGACCAATAGAAAATTGCATGTATACTGAGATGATGCAATATTAGCCTTCAATTGCATCACTTCACTGCATAAAAGCTGCAGTATCTGTAGCTGATTGTAGTTCGACAGCGTCTTTACATTTCGTTTTATGCTTATATAGGCTACTCAGTAATGCCTCGAACTTGTGTGAATAAAGCAGATAACACTGTTCAACAAATTTTTATTTTTTTGCCAGTTTTGGAAACAAAAGGATCCATTTCTTAATGAATTTCACATTCTGAGTTCAAATAAAACAATGAAATTTGTCAATTGGCTCTAGTTTTTCTGTAAACGGAAAGTTTTCTACTATAGGCGTAATGACTACATAATGCACAATAATTATATAGATAGATGTCTTTCCACAAATATAAAGCAAGTGATATTGACTACATAACAAAGCCTAAATGGCATAATATATTGCATAGGATTACCAAGAAAATTATAGCCATAAGCTAAGTTGAATCATTTTAATACTTAGGATTCTCACTAGTTTTGTCTTCAGTTTGTGTCGGTTTTGCTTCTCTTGGCTTTTCTCTTGTATTCGAGGAAAGGGCTATCTCTTACAACTGCACGTGACTACACGCTTCAGGTTCTTCCTCACTTGACTCAACCACGAAGGATTCTGGTGCTTTAGGAATTGGTAGCCCCTCTCCATGAGGAACTGGACGTATTGCCGATGGAATATTTGGATAGTGCACAGATAACTTTTTCTTCTTATTTAGCCCTTTTACAATTGGAGGCACCATACAAAAGTAACAATTACTAACATGATCTGTTGGCTCTCTCCAAATCATTGGCACAGCGAAAGGCATAGATGCCTTTTTTCCATTCAACCATTGCTCCAGTGCCGTCCCACAAGAATTGCAGCATATATGTGGTGCCCAGCTCTTGTCCTGGTCTCCTATCTTGCAGCCAAAATACAAGTTGTAGGCTTTCTTAATCATTCCTGTTATCCTCCTTTTTTGTGAGATAAAAGTTATTTCACCGCAGATATAGCAGAAATCCAATGCTCGTATTTTTTCTGTTTCTATTCCCTGTATCTTGTTACCTGCATTCCTGTTCCTGTTCCTGTTCCTGTCTGACTGATTCGTTGCCGACCCTGCCTGATCCGGACCTCTGCTGACTTCTCCTGCTTGATCCCTGGCTTGTGACCCCGACCATTCTCTGCCTGACCCCTGTACTACCTGCCCGTTAGTTGCTGTACCCAGCTCGTGACCTGACCACTCTCTGCCTGCTCCTCCTGTTCCTACCTGCCTGATTGTTACTGACCCGGCCTGCCTGATGACACTTGCATTGTATGTATTGTTATCTGTGGGTGGTTTGGTTTGGTTCGTTTGCACTGTGTTATGTTTTAGTATTGCACTGCGTTTATGTATTGTTAGTATTAATAAATTATATTGTTTATAACATATCTGAAGCCTGCGTTTCCCTGCGTCAGTTCACATACCTCTGGTCATACCCCGGGACCCCTGACATTACACCAAGGCCAATTCTGACCAGAAGTGGCTGCACAGGGAAGCCATCTTGGCTTGTTGCTGGGAAGGATGGATCTTGATGAGGTTGTGTATTTGTCGCTGCTGGTTTTTGATGACAGAGAATATGCTTATCAGACTCTGAGGGAGTATACCCGGGATCAACTGCTAGAATGTATACGGATCTCTCATGTTCTAGTAGATCAGGGCACAGAGTTCTCTGAGGTGCAACCTTTGATTCAGGTTTGTGTAGAGTTGGCTTCATCTGGTACCCCTGAAAGCAGGAATGACTCTTTGCCACCATTTAGTGCAGACCAGGTAGAGTCCCTGGTATGGTTATTAGAGGATGATGTGGATTGCTTCTTGGAGCATTATGCTGCATGTTCACCACAGGTATTAAGGGATTGTATAAACGCAGTGCAGTCTTTGACCAGACAGGCTTTGTGTAAGCTGAGCTTTGTTCAACCCATACTGCAGACATGGTCAGACTTGTTGCACCCAGCCTCAGTCAGCTTACAACGTCATTCATCCGCTCAAGGCACTCTTCCTACATCCCCGACAGCACCCCCAGCGACGGCCCAGTATACTCTGCTAACTACCACATATCAGTCCTCTGCTCCCACTTGCTGCACCTATCCTTTCTTTAACCCTGTAAAGAAGTCCTCTGTAGCAACTGCTCCCTCCTCTGTTCCATCTTCCAGCTCTTCTCTGTCCTCAGCTGCTCCATTCGTTTGCAGACCTGCGTTTACTTGCAGTGCTCCAGTAGTTAAAACCAGAAAAAAGCGAAAATTCTTTCCAACCAGTACCATCCTGCCAGTATCTAAACCGGTGAGCCTGCCGTCTGAGAACCTGCCTTCCGTGGTTCAGCCTGGTGCCTCGGCACCCGCACTTCAGCCTGATGTCTCTACCCAGCCTGATGTCTGTACCCAGCCTGACGATTCAATGCCTGATGACCCGGTGCCTGCTGTCGATCCAGACGATCCGGTACCTGATGACCCAGTGCCTGCTGTCATGCCTGGTGACCCGATGCCCACTGTCGAGCCAGACAATCCAATGCCTGATGACCCAGTGCCCGCTGTCATGCCTGGTGACCCGATGCCCGCTGTCAAGCCAGACGATCCAATGTCTGACCCAGTGCCCGCGGTCATGCCAGTTGACTCGGAACCCACTGTCGTGCCTGGTGACTCGGTGCCCACTGCCTTGCCAGATGACGCGGTGCCCGCTGGCGCGCCAAATGACCTGATGCCTGGTGACCCGATGCCCGCTGTCGTGCCTAATGACCCGGTGCTTGCCGCTCCGCCTGGGGGCCCGGTGCCCGCCGCCCCTCCTGGGGGTCCGCGCCCGCCGCTCCTCCTGGGGGCCCGGCACCCGCCGCTCCGCCCAGGGGCCCGATGCCTGCCGCTCCGCCCGGGGGCCCGGCGCCCGCTGCTCCGCCCGGGGGCCCGATGCCTGCCGATCTGCCTGGGGGCCCGGAGCCTGCCGCCCCTCCTGAGGGCCCGCCGCTCCACCTGGGGGCCCTGTGCCTGCCGCTCCTCCTGGGGGCCCTGTGCCTGCCGCTCCTCCTGGGGGCCCTGTGCCTGCCGCTCCACCTGGGGGCCTGGTGCCTGCTGCCCCGCCTGGGGGCCCTGTGCCTGCCGCCCCTCCTGGGGGCCCTGTGCCTCTGCCCGGAGTCCAGCCCGATGTGCCTCTGCCCGGAGTCCAGCCCGATGTGCCTCTGCCCGGAGTCCAGCCCGATGTGCCTCTGCCCGGAGTCCAGCCCAATGTGCCTCTGCCCGGAGCCCAGCCCGATGTGCCAGTCTTTGATATCCCGCCAGTTACCAGACCCGGGCGGTGGAACATTTTGCCCAGCTAGGACTGTTTGGAGCGTCCTGAGGCCGCTCCTTGGGGGGGGGGTACTGTCAGGAATGGACTTGCCAGTAATGGTGGGACTCACCTGCCTTGTGGGCTGCAGTACCAGGGCTGGCCAGCGGGTGCTCTCAGCAATCAGAGACTCAACCCTGCAGTCAGCCAAAACACCTGAGGCTAATCACAGGTGTATTTAAGGGATGGCCAGACCTGCAGTCTGTGCCTTGGTGTGTGTTTTTCTATGGGCCCCTGTATCTTGTTACCTGCATTCCTGTTCCTGTTCCTGTCTGACTGATTCGTTGCCGACCCTGCCTGATCCGGACCTCTGCTGACTTCTCCTGTTTGATCCCTGGCTTGTGACCCCGACCATTCTCTGCCTGACCCCCTGTTCCTACCTGCCCGTTAGTTGCTGTACCCAGCTCGTGACCTGACTACTCTCTGCCTGCTCCTCCTGTTCCTACCTGCCCGATTGTTACTGACCTGGCCTGCCTGATGACGCTTGCATTGTATGTATTGTTATCTGTGGGTGGTTTGGTTTGGTTCGTTTGCACTGTGTTATGTTTTAGTATTGCACTGCGTTTATGTATTGTTAGTATTAATAAATTATATTGTTTATAACATATCTGAAGCCTGCGTTTCCCTGCGTCAGTTCACATACCTCTGGTCATACCCCGGGAGCCCTGACAGGAGGATGGTCGCCAGAGCCGGGGTCAGAAGCCAGGAAGGATGATCGCTGGAGCCGGGGTCAGAAGCCAGGAAGGATGGTCGCCAGAGCCGGGGTCAGAAGCCAGGAAGGATGGTCGCCAGAGCCGGGGTCAGAAGCCAGGAAGGATGGTCACCAGAGCCGGGGTCAGAAGCCAGGAAGGAGTCTTGCCAAAGCCGAATCGGTATCCAGGAGAGCAATGAGAAACTAAACAGGAGCTTTCTGCTGTGCAACAGACAGGACACGAATGCAATGGACAGCTACAAACAGCAGACTTATATGTGATAAGCCGCCACCTCCTGGGGGAGGAGCCGCAGAGGGCTGAAAGCATAAAGGATCCCACAATGCTTTGCAGACACTTAAGATGGATGTCAGCACATGGAGCAGCACAAGCCCTGAAGAAAGGTAGGACCTTGACAGGCAGCCCTTGAGGAATGGCGTTACTTGCTGGAGGGAGCTTCCCATCCTATCCTCATTTTTACGGATCACAAGAACCTAGAGTACTTGAGAACTGCAAAATGCCACGACAGGCAAGATGGGCACTGTTCTTCTCCCACTTTGTGTTTCACTTGACATACCGTCCAGGACCAAAGAACGATAAGCCCAATGCACTCTCACGTATGTTACATGACCCAATTGTACCATCCGAACCTGACACAAATCTGCCAACTAAGAACTTTTTACTCCTGCAAACAGACCTTGTGGCACAAATAAGAGAAGTGGTTGATGATCATCCACCTCCCTTGGAGATGCATCTTCAGCTAAGAGACGGTCTGCAGCTTCACAAGGAAAAAATTTACATACCAGAACAACTCAGAACTCTCATCCTTAAAAGATGTCATGATCATCCATTAGCGGGTCACTTCAGGATCCACAAGACCTCAAATTTGGTCTCCCATTCCTTCTGGTGGCCAAACTTAATGAAGGATTGTAAGAACTATGTTAGATCTTGCTCAGTGTGTCTCCGAAACAAGTCTGATAAAGCCAAAACCTTGGGAATGTTGGAATCTCTGCCAGTACCCTAAAAGCTATGGAATATGATTTCTCTGGATTTTATTGTAGAGCTTCCCCCATCTGAAGGGTTCACCACTATTTTAGTCGTGATTGATCGTCTGTCAAAGATGGCTCACTTTATTCCCTTGAAAGAACTCTTTCTGCCACTGAGACTGCTTCTGCTTTTATCAGAGAAATAGTAAGATTACATGGTTTTCCTAACAATATCGTGTCCAGTCGGGGAGTACAGTTCACTTCTAAGTTCTGGAAAGCTCTGTGTGAGGCACTAGAAATCGAACTTCGCTTCTCTTCTGCGTATCATCCGCAAACAAATGGACAAATGGAGAGGACAAACCAGACTATGGAACAATACCTACGATGTTTCTCATCTTATTCACAGGATGACTGGGTGTCTCTCCTTCCGTTAGCTGAATTTGCATACAACAACTCCATCCGCTCTGCTACCAAACAGTCCCCTTTTTTACTCCAACTATGGATATCACCCTTCCTTCCTTCCTGAAATACCGGTGGAACCCGCTGTCCCGGCAGTACAAGAAAGGATGGATTTCCTCAGTAGGAATGGCCAAATACTACAAAATCTATTTTAGAGGGTCAAGCAAGTAACAAAAAAATTTTTGACAGAAAAAGAAGGGGCAACCTAAATCTGAAACCAGGAGATAAAGTCTGGTTATCTACCACAAACCTAAAATTGAACTGTCCTTCAAAGAAGCTTGGTCCAAGGTACCTGGGACCGTTTACAATTAAGAGAAAAATTAACCCTGTGGCTTTCGAATTAATACTACCAAAGAATATGAAGATTCATCCAGTATTCCATATCTCCCTGTTAAAACTAACTATACCAAGTGTATTTCCAAATCGAGATCCGGAGACTCCTGCTTCACTGCTGGTCGAAGGTAATGAAGAATACGAGGTGGAGGCTATCCTGGATTGTAGAAAGAGGAGTGGTCAGACCCATTTCCTCTTCAAATGGAAAGGCTACGGTCCAGAGGATAATTCCTGGGAACCATCCGCTAGTGTCCATGCTCCATGGTTAGTGAAGGCTTACCTTCATCTTCATCCTTAAAAACAAGCTTTGGTAGGCATCCGGAGGCTGCCCCTAAGGGGGGGGGGCAATGTAAGGGAATTCCTGTGAGGCAGCTGGCGAATAGACGTGTGCATGTGCACAGAAATGCGCAATCATGCACACGCACAGCAAATATTGGCTTCAGACGGACTATTTAAAAGGTGCCTCTGCCTGTGCTGAGTGCTGACTGGCCTTCAGCTGTTCCCCGTTTCCTGTGTGATTTCCTTGTTGCTGACCCGGCTTGTTCCTGACCTGACTCTGATTACTCTCCTGCTTGATACTGGTTCCTGACTTCGGCTCTGCTCCTGACTTTGGCTTGCTTCTAATTTGGTACCTCGCTGTCCGCCCGTTGATGACCCTGGCTATTCCTTTGACACTGCTCCTGTCTCCCATCCCAGCTTCCTGCCTTGCTCTGGTGCACACCTGGCGATCTATCATACCAGCTCTGCATATTACTACTGTGCCTGAATCAGAGGTTCATCAGTCTTCCAAGGTCACCAACTGCAAGAGCTGCAAACAACATCTACTGGCGCTCTTGTCCCCCTGGTCCCTAGACACCCTCTGTTCCACCTCCAGTGGGGTTAGGGCTAGTGACACAAGTGAGGCCAACCTCGTCATTTCAGTCTCCTATCAGGTACGTGACAATATCTTTATACCTGCCTTAACCCGCTTTCTTAAAGGGGACCTTGGATGATTGATTTAAATGCGTATTATCTATACGCATCTGGTGAGTGCGTATTCTTACCCCACCTTCAAAAGCACAAGCACTGAAGTACCGCCATAGTGGGCACTCTTCACATGGATTCTCACCTTATGCATATTTACCTATATGGACATTATTACCTACTGTCACTTATAGCGCTGCACTTTATTTATGGATCTAGGGGGATGCTGGGGTGGGCTGTGCCCCCCAGAATTTAATTGTGCCCCCCCCAGTCTGGCCCTCCCATGAATTTCACTGGCCACTGACCTCCTTTTGCCCCATTCTCGCACTCATGGCCGGAACAAGGATAAGGCAGCCTGGAACACTGAACTCCTGAAGTGACAGAGATGAGAGGGCGAGTTGTGCTGTGTTCTCCCCTCCTGTCAGCACAGCGTCCCTCCATGCGGCAGATCGTGTTAACATCAGGCTGTACACACAATTTGATTACCTGCCCCCATGTCCTCCAAGGGCTGCTCATCTCCCGGCAGCAGGACATGTGGGTAGGGAAGTGGATAATCAAGCTGTGTGTACAGCCCGTTGTAAGAGCCAACTGCCACATGGAGGAATGCTGTGCTGACAAGGAGGGGAGAACACAGCACAGCTCGCTCTCTCCTCCCAGCTCTGTAGTGTAAGGTGTAAGGGGGGGGGGGGCTTACAAGCAAACTGTACAAAATGTTAAGAATTACACATTAGGAGGAGAACAATAATTTATGTTTAGGATGTTTGTGGAGGATGGGGGCTATTTGTGCTGGAAAGGTAATGGAGATTTGTGCTAGAAAGGGGGTTTTGGAAAGGGGGGATTTGAAAATTTGTGCTAGGAGGGGGGTTTGGGGGGATTTGAGCCAAGAGGGGGGATTCCAGAATTTTTTGTGCTGAGGGTTGGGGGAATTTGTGCTCAGGGGAGGAGTGGGGCTTGGGTGGAGAA